ATGGCTATGGCAGTATGGCTATGGCAGTATGGCTATGGCAGTATGGCTATGGCAGTATGGCTATGGCAGTATGGCGGTGGCAGAATGGCTATGGCAGTATGGCGGTGGCAGTATGGCAGTGGCAGTATGGCTATGGCAGTATGGCTATGGCAGTATGGCAGTGGCAGTATGGCTATGGCAGTATGGCTATGGCAGTATAGCAGTGGCAGTATGGCTATGGCGGTGGCAGTATAGCTATGGCAGTATGGCTATTGGCAGTATGGCTATGGCAGTATGGCGGTGGCAGTATGGCTATGGCAGTATGGCTATGGCAGTATGGCTATGGCAGTATGGCGGTTGCAGTATGGCGGTGGCAGTATGGCGGTGGCATTATGGCAGTGGCAGTATGGCAGTGGTAGTATGGCTATGGCAGTATGGCGGTGGCAGTATGGCGGTGGCAGTATGGCTATGGCAGTATGGCGGTGGCAGTATGGCTATGGCAGTATGGCTATGGCAGTATGGCGGTGGGTTGCAGTATGGCGGTGGCAGTACAGTGGTGGCAGGTGGCAGTATGGCTATGGCAGTATGGTGGTGGCAGTACGGTGGTGGCAGTACGGCGGTGGCAGTATGGCTATGGCAGTATGGCTATGGCAGTATGGCTATGGCAGTATGGCTATGGCAGTATGGCTATGGCAGTATGGCTATGGCAGTATGGCTATGGCAGAACAGCCGTGGCAGTATGGCTATGGCAGTATGGCTATGGCAGTATGGCTATGGCAGTACAGGGGTGGCAGTATGGCTATGGCAGTATGGCGGTAGCAGTTTGGCTATGGCAGTATGGCTATGGCAGTATGGCTATGGCAGTATGGCGGTGGCAGTATGGCTATGGCAGTATGACGGTGGCAGTATGGCTATGGCAGTATGGCTATGGCAGTATGGCTATGGCAGTATGGCTATGGCAGTATGGCGGTGGCAGTATGGCTATGGCAGTATGAGGGTGGCAGTATGGCGGTGGCAGTATGGCTATGGCAGTATGGCGGTGGCAGTATGGCTATGGCAGTATGGCTATGGCAGTATGGCAGTGGCAGTACGGTGGTGGCGGTATGGCTATGGCAGTATGGCGGTGGCAGTATGGCGGTGGCAGTATGGGTATGGCAGTATGACGTTGGCAGTATGGCTATGGCAGTATGGCTATGGCAGTATGGCGGTGGCAGTATGGCTATGGCAGTATGGCTATGGCAGTATGGCTATGGCAGTATGGCTATGGCAGTATGGCGGTGGCAGTATGGCGGTGGCAGTATGGCTATGGCAGTATGGCGGTGGCAGTATGGCTATGGCAGTATGGCTATGGCAGTATGGCGGTGGGTTGCAGTATGGCGGTGGCAGTACGGTGGTGGCAGGTGGCAGTATGGCTATGGCAGTATGGTGGTGGCAGTATGGTGGTGGCAGTACGGCGGTGGCAGTATGGCTATGGCAGTATGGCTATGGCAGTATGGCTATGGCAGTACGGCGGTGGCAGTATGGCTATGGCAGTATGGCGGTGGCAGTATGGCTATGGCAGTATGGCTATGGCAGTATGGCTATGGCAGTACAGCAGTGGCAGTATGGCGATGGCAGTATGGCGGTGGCAGTATGGCTATGGCAGTATGGCTATGGCAGTATGGCTATGGCAGTATGGCTATGGCAGTATGGCTATGGCAGTATGGCTATGGCAGTATGGCGGTGGCAGTATGGCTATGGCAGTATGACGGTGGCAGTATGGCTATGGCAGTATGGCTATGGGAGTATGGCTATGGCAGTATGGCTATGGCAGTATGGCGGTGGCAGTATGGCTATGGCTGAATGGCTATGGCAGTATGGCGGTGGCAGTATGGCTATGGCAGTATGAGGGTGGCAGTATGGCGGTGGCAGTATGGCTATGGCAGTATGGTGGTGGCAGTATGGCTATGGCAGTATGGCTATGGCAGTATGGCGGTGGCAGTACGGCGGTGGCAGTATGGCTATGGCAGTATGGCGGTGGCAGTATGGCGGTGGCAGTATGGGTATGGCAGTAGGACATTGGCAGTATGGCTATGGCAGTATGGCTATGGCAGTATGGCTATGGCAGTATGGCGGTGGCAGTATGGCTATGGCAGTATGGCTATGGCAGTATGGCTATGGCAGTATGGCGGTGGCAGTATGGCGGTGGCAGTATGGCTATGGCAGTACGGCGGTGGCAGTATGGCTATGGCAGTATGGCTATGGCAGTACGGCGGTGGCAGTACGGCGGTGGCAGTATGGCTATGGCAGTATGGCGGTGGCAGTATGGCTATGGCAGTATGGCTATGGCAGTATGGCGGTGGCAGTACAGCGGTGGCAGTATGGCTATGGCAGTATGGCTATGGCAGTATGGCGGTGGCAGTACGGCGGTGGCAGTACCAAGGTGGCAGTATGGCTATGGCAGTATGGCGGTGGCAGTATGGCTATGGCAGTATGGCGGTGGCAGTATGGCTATGGCAGTATGGCTATGGCAGTAGCATAACAAGTATACATAATTACCTGTTCCAATACACTGCACTTCATTTCAAACTCTGTGACCTGGAAACAATGAAAAACACAGCAACAAAGTTCCATACAAAATCATCCTCACTCTTTGAAAATCTCATCTTTCCAGCAGACATGAATGTGCATAGGGACTGTGTGAACAATGTGGTTGTGTTGTCAACAAAGAACGTGCTGAATACGATCATGCAACATGCCTCGTCGCACCGCCAGGAAAATGAGTAGCAGACTGCAGGCTTGTCGTGTACTTGGCAGCCTCGTGAGCTGTCTTCAGCATCACAATCACAATGGCTTGGATTGGCGCCCTTCAGCGGCATAGGCACTGGGACAGTCTTTGGCTTGTAGACGTAGTAGTAAAGTACACACAATCCGCCATCAATGACACATTCACTTTGGGTTACAGGAGTGGCAAAAGCATATTGGATACTACACAATCACTTAGGGTTACAGGAGCGGCACAGGCATATTGGACGCACCCTATGTCGGCGGCCAGGGAGGCCTCTGGGGTCAAGGTGCCGAGTTGGTCTACTATATACAGGTACATGTGTATGTGTATGCGTTGGTCTACCATATACAGGTACTTGTACGTGTGTATGTGTGTGTGTGTATGTGTATGTGTATGTGTATGCGATGGTCTAGCATAGACAGGTACATGCTTGCGACCCTGCAAGGCAAGATGGGTTCCAGAATCTTACTGGATTTTGATCAGCCACATGGTTGTGTGGTATCACACAATCATTACGTGCCAGTTTGTAGTTGGCATAGATGCCTGTTTTCGTGTGTTTTTTCTCTTTCATTTTTCTTCTCTCTGACCTTTGCTTATCTTCTATGATGCACAGCTTCATGCTAGAGCAATATGTAAATATGCTAAGATAGTAGTTGGGGACTTGTGCAGAGTCAAGCAGAAGACAGTGTGGCCAAGGTTAGGCAAAACACCAGAAGCACACTATCCCCAAACACATGTATGGTTGCTGTGTGAGTGGACATGTGCGTACCTGCGATCAAGATTTAGGTTTCTGGAATTCTCTCTGCTCGAACCAACAATTACTTGAATTACGCTTTAACACAAATCACAGTTATGCCTCAGTTATGCCAGCTGGTGTTCTAATTGGCCCCTAAATGAGGCCCATTCAAGACCCTGGTCTGCTTTTATGCAGTACTTATGCCAAAAGAGTGACCGCTCATCAGGCGCGTAGCACCGCCGTTGGCAGTGGTCCGGCAGGAGGGGTCCAGGGGTCTCTCCCACGAAAAATTTGAAATAAGGGTTCAAAATCCTGCATTCTGGGCGCTTTTGGACATGGTCGGGCGAAAACGTTGTCCTGCCGAAGCCAGACCGGTCGGACCGGCCGAAGCCAGACCGTTCGGACCGGCCGAAGCCAGACCGGTCGGACCGGCCGAAGCCAGACGGTCGGACCGGCTGCTACGCCCCTGCTCATGCCCGGGAAAGTAGCACATTTGGACATTTGGCCCAAACCGAGACCAAATTGCAGTTCGTGTCTGCTTCCTGCAGTACTTCTACCGAGCCAGTGTAAATTCAGAAAATGTAGGTGTCCAATATTTAGGTACAGAGAGCAAAGAGACCAGGTAAGGCAAACAGACATTTTAGGTACAGAGAGCAAAGAGACCAGGTAAGGTAAACAGACATTTTAGGTATGAGAGCAAAGAGACCAGGTAAGGCAAACAGACATTTTAGGTATGAGAGCAAAGAGACCAGGTAAGGCAAACAGACATTTTAGGTACAGAGAAGCCATTCCGTCTAGGATGATGTGTGTTTGTGTTCGTGTGGTTATTGGAATTTTAGGTATGACAGAGATGCACCGAAAGAACCAAATATATAGGTGGTACACCTTGTGAAATTACAGTATTCTTGGCAATGCCCTTTTTCACCACAGTATGATTGTGCTCAAAACGATGCCGGCATTATCCACAGATGACACCACCCTCAGACCCAGCAGATATGATCTGTTTTACTGCTATGTAATTCCTACACAACCATCCAAACTGAACATGTACACAAAACATGTGAAACAAACACTCAGCCATAGCGGAGACAGGTAGCAGGTGGCAGCTGCTTACCCTCTGCTGGAGATCAGCAATGCTGGTGTCACGTTCCAGCACTTGCTGGCTCATGTCCATGCCATGACCGACAGTGTCACCAGGGCTGGAATGCAGAGTAGGGCTACTAACGTTAAGCGTGCTAGTACTATTGGCAATCCCATCTTGCTGCACACCCTGCAGGAGAATACACAGGCACACACACACACACACACACACACACACACACACACACACACACACACAAAGAGAGAGAAGGACACACAGCGGCAGTTGATGAGTCAGCACATCCAATGACAGTCACTACGGTACAGGAATCACTAAATCAAGAATCGCCAGCCAAACCACTAAATCAAGAATCGCCAGCCAAACCACTAAATCAAGAATCGCCAGCCAAACCACTAAATCAAGAATCGCCAGCCAAACCACTAAATCAAGAATCGCCAGCCAAACCACTAAATCAAGAATCGCCAGCCAAACCACTAAATCAAGAATCACCAGCCAAATCACTAAATCAAGAATCGCCAGCCAAACCACTAAATCAAGAATCGCCAGCCAAACCACTAAATCAAGAATCACCAGCCAAACCACTAAATCAAGAATCACCAGCCAAACCACTAAATCAAGAATCACCAGCCAAACCACTAAATCAAGAATCACCAGCCAAACCACTAAATCAAGAATCACCAGCCAAACCACTAAATCAAGAATCGCCAGCCAAATCACTAAATCAAGAATCACCAGCCAAACCACTAAATCAAGAATCGCCAGCCAAACCACTAAATCAAGAATCACCAGCCAAACCACTAAATCAAGAATCACCAGCCAAACCACTAAATCAAGAATCACCAGCCAAACCACTAAATCAAGAATCACCAGCCAAACCACTAAATCAAGAATCACCAGCCAAACCACTAAATCAAGAATCGCCAGCCAAACCACTAAATCAAGAATCGCCAGCCAAACCACTAAATCAAGAATCACCAGCCAAACCACTAAATCAAGAATCACCAGCCAAACCACTAAATCAAGAATCACCAGCCAAACCACTAAATCAAGAATCACCAGCCAAACCACTAAATCAAGAATCACCAGCCAAACCACTAAATCAAGAATCACCAGCCAAACCACTAAATCAAGAATCGCCAGCCAAACCACTAAATCAAGAATCACCAGCCAAACCACTAAATCAAGAATCGCCAGCCAAACCACTAAATCAAGAATCGCCAGCCAAACCACTAAATCAAGAATCGCCAGCCAAACCACTAAATCAAGAATCACCAGCCAAACCACTAAATCAAGAATCACCAGCCAAACCACTAAATCAAGAATCACCAGCCAAACCACTAAATCAAGAATCACCAGCCAAACCACTAAATCAAGAATCACCAGCCAAACCACTAAATCAAGAATCGCCAGCCAAACCACTAAATCAAGAATCACCAGCCAAACCACTAAATCAAGAATCGCCAGCCAAACCACTAAATCAAGAATCGCCAGCCAAACCACTAAATCAAGAATCGCCAGCCAAACCACTAAATCAAGAATCACCAGCCAAACCACTAAATCAAGAATCACCAGCCAAACCACTAAATCAAGAATCACCAGCCAAACCACTAAATCAAGAATCACCAGCCAAACCACTAAATCAAGAATCACCAGCCAAACCACTAAATCAAGAATCACCAGCCAAACCACTAAATCAAGAATCACCAGCCAAACCACTAAATCAAGAATCGCCAGCCAAACCACTAAATCAAGAATCACCAGCCAAACCACTAAATCAAGAATCGCCAGCCAAACCACTAAATCAAGAATCGCCAGCCAAACCACTAAATCAAGAATCGCCAGCCAAACCACTAAATCAAGAATCACCAGCCAAACCACTAAATCAAGAATCACCAGCCAAACCACTAAATCAAGAATCACCAGCCAAACCACTAAATCAAGAATCACCAGCCAAACCACTAAATCAAGAATCACCAGCCAAACCACTAAATCAAGAATCGCCAGCCAAACCACTAAATCAAGAATCACCAGCCAAACCACTAAATCAAGAATCACCAGCCAAACCACTAAATCAAGAATCACCAGCCAAACCACTAAATCAAGAATCACCAGCCAAACCACTAAATCAAGAATCACCAGCCAAACCACTAAATCAAGAATCACCAGCCAAACCACTAAATCAAGAATCACCAGCCAAACCACTAAATCAAGAATCGCCAGCCAAACCACTAAATCAAGAATCACCAGCCAAACCACTAAATCAAGAATCGCCAGCCAAACCACTAAATCAAGAATCGCCAGCCAAACCACTAAATCAAGAATCGCCAGCCAAACCACTAAATCAAGAATCACCAGCCAAACCACTAAATCAAGAATCACCAGCCAAACCACTAAATCAAGAATCACCAGCCAAACCACTAAATCAAGAATCGCCAGCCAAACCACTAAATCAAGAATCGCCAGCCAAACCACTAAATCAAGAATCGCCAGCCAAACCACTAAATCAAGAATCACCAGCCAAACCACTAAATCAAGAATCACCAGCCAAACCACTAAATCAAGAATCACCAGCCAAACCACTAAATCAAGAATCGCCAGCCAAACCACTAAATCAAGAATCGCCAGCCAAACCACTAAATCAAGAATCGCCAGCCAAACCACTAAATCAAGAATCACCAGCCAAACCACTAAATCAAGAATCACCAGCCAAACCACTAAATCAAGAATCACCAGCCAAACCACTAAATCAAGAATCGCCAGCCAAACCACTAAATCAAGAATCGCCAGCCAAACCACTAAATCAAGAATCGCCAGCCAAACCACTAAATCAAGAATCGCCAGCCAAACCACTAAATCAAGAATCACCAGCCAAACCACTAAATCAAGAATCACCAGCCAAACCACTAAATCAAGAATCACCAGCCAAACCACTAAATCAAGAATCGCCAGCCAAACCACTAAATCAAGAATCGCCAGCCAAACCACTAAATCAAGAATCGCCAGCCAAACCACTAAATCAAGAATCACCAGCCAAACCACTAAATCAAGAATCGCCAGCCAAACCACTAAATCAAGAATCGCCAGCCAAACCACTAAATCAAGAATCACCAGCCAAACCACTAAATCAAGAATCACCAGCCAAACCACTAAATCAAGAATCACCAGCCAAACCACTAAATCAAGAATTGCCAGCCAAACCACTAAATCAAGAATCACCAGCCAAACCACTAAATCAAGAATCGCCAGCCAAACCACTAAATCAAGAATCGCCAGCCAAACCACTAAATCAAGAATCGCCAGCCAAACCACTAAATCAAGAATCGCCAGCCAAATCACTAAATCAAGAATCACCAGCCAAATCACTAAATCAAGAATCACCAGCCAAACCACTAAATCAAGAATCGCCAGCCAAACCACTAAATCAAGAATCACCAGCCAAACCACTAAATCAAGAATCACCAGCCAAACCACTAAATCAAGAATCGCCAGCCAAACCACTAAATCAAGAATCACCAGCCAAACCACTAAATCAAGAATCACCAGCCAAACCACTAAATCAAGAATCACCAGCCAAACCACTAAATCAAGAATCGCCAGCCAAACCACTAAATCAAGAATCGCCAGCCAAATCACTAAATCAAGAATCGCCAGAATCGCCAGCCAAACCACTAAATCAAGAATCACCAGCCAAACCACTAAATCAAGAATCGCCAGCCAAACCACTAAATCAAGAATCACCAGCCAAACCACTAAATCAAGAATCACCAGCCAAAGCACTAAATCAAGAATCACCAGCCAAACCACTAAATCAAGAATCACCAGCCAAATCACTAAATCAAGAATCACCAGCCAAATCACTAAATCAAGAATCACCAGCCAAACCACTAAATCAAGAATCGCCAGCCAAACCACTAAATCAAGAATCACCAGCCAAACCACTAAATCAAGAATCACCAGCCAAACCACTAAATCAAGAATCGCCAGCCAAACCACTAAATCAAGAATCACCAGCCAAACCACTAAATCAAGAATCGCCAGCCAAACCACTAAATCAAGAATCGCCAGCAAAATCACTAAATCAAGAATCGCCAGCCAAACCACTAAATCAAGAATCACCAGCCAAATCACTAAATCAAGAATCGCCAGCCAAACCACTAAATCAAGAATCACCAGCCAAACCACTAAATCAAGAATCGCCAGCCAAACCACTAAATCAAGAATCACCAGCCAAACCACTAAATCAAGAATCACCAGCCAAACCACTAAATCAAGAATCACCAGCCAAACCACTAAATCAAGAATCACCAGCCAAATCACTAAATCAAGAATCACCAGCCAAATCACTAAATCAAGAATCACCAGCCAAACCACTAAATCAAGAATCGCCAGCCAAACCACTAAATCAAGAATCACCAGCCAAACCACTAAATCAAGAATCACCAGCCAAACCACTAAATCAAGAATCACCAGCCAAACCACTAAATCAAGAATCACCAGCCAAACCACTAAATCAAGAATCACCAGCCAAACCACTAAATCAAGAATCACCAGCCAAACCACTAAATCAAGAATCACCAGCCAAACCACTAAATCAAGAATCACCAGCCAAACCACTAAATCAAGAATCACCAGCCAAACCACTAAATCAAGAATCACCAGCCAAACCACTAAATCAAGAATCGCCAGCCAAACCACTAAATCAAGAATCGCCAGCCAAACCACTAAATCAAGAATCACCAGCCAAACCACTAAATCAAGAATCACCAGCCAAACCACTAAATCAAGAATCACCAGCCAAACCACTAAATCAAGAATCGCCAGCCAAACCACTAAATCAAGAATCGCCAGCCAAATCACTAAATCAAGAATCGCCAGCCAAACCACTAAATCAAGAATCACCAGCCAAATCACTAAATCAAGAATCGCCAGTCAAATCACTAAATCAAGAATCGCCAGCCAAATCACTAAATCAAGAATCGCCAGCCAAATCACTAAATCAAGAATCGCCAGCCAAATCACTAAATCAAGAATCGCCAGCCAAACCACTAAATCAAGAATCTCCAGCCAAATCACTAAATCAAGAATCGCCAGCCAAATCACTAAATCAAGAATCGCCAGCCAAATCACTAAATCAAGAATCGCCAGCCAAATCACTAAATCAAGAATCGCCAGCCAAATCACTAAATCAAGAATCACCAGCCAAATCACTAAATCAAGAATCGCCAGCCAAACCACTAAATCAAGAATCGCCAGCCAAACCACTAAATCAAGAATCACCAGCCAAACCACTAAATCAAGAATCACCAGCCAAATCACTAAATCAAGAATCGCCAGCCAAACCACTAAATCAAGAATCGCCAGCCAAACCACTAAATCAAGAATCGCCAGCCAAATCACTAAATCAAGAATCGCCAGCCAAACCACTAAATCAAGAATCGCCAGCCAAACCACTAAATCAAGAATCGCCAGCCAAACCACTAAATCAAGAATCGCCAGCCAAACCACTAAATCAGGAATCGCCAGCCAAACCACTAAATCAAGAATCGCCAGCCAAACCACTAAATCAAGAATCGCCAGCCAAACCACTAAATCAAGAATCGCCAGCCAAACCACTAAATCAAGAATCGCCAGCCAAACCACTAAATCAAGAATCGCCAGCCAAACCACTAAATCTACACAGTGAACATGTCTACATGTGAAATGCTCCAATTCAAAACGAGAAAAACCCATTTTCTGAAAATTTCAGGAAGTGCATTTTTTCATTCGTTCTTTTTCAGTCTGCATTGCAGCATCAATGACTTTTATCGCGTTTTGCAGAAGAACACAAACTTCAGGCATCATTTAGACTGGGATATATCGCGTTTTGACCCGTAAACCGACATACAGACGTTCATGGGGTGAAAACGAATTCTTTCGTGACAAAAAAACGCAAAAGCTCCGGTTTGGTCTTTATCGTATTTTGAATCGGAACCCTTCATGTTTATAAACAGTGATGTGAGTGTTACACATTTTGATCTTGCCCGGACTGCACCAGAGCTTAGCCAAAGCAACCCCTTTCAATTGTGGATGACCACTTCTTGTTCACCAGAAGTCAGATAATTGTAGACTTGAGCTAAGTTGAACTGTTAGATATCATATAAGCACACATTTTCGTTCACGAAATCCTGCATTAGATCACTCCACCAGCAAGTTCGTTACGTACTAAATTTCGTTTTTGGTTCAGGTCTGCCACCCCGAACATTCAGAAAAAAACTTTGGTACAAACTTTAGTTATTTCGTGCCCCTAACGAATGTAGCGAAAGTTAATTCCAAACGAAATTTTGTACTTATACAGTAAGACATAGCACTGTGGCTGATCCTCAGGATCTGCTACATTTTACCAGGTCACTGCAGAGAATCAGCAGCATATTTCTCAT